CCTTCCCCTCTGTGAAGACTGAAGTCAACTAAAGGGCTAATGATAACAATCAAAACGCCTGCCATTTGATATAATAATAATATTATGCAATAAACGGCTTTGGAAAACGTCAAAATATTATAGATTTCATAATTACCAGTGAATTTATTTGATGGAATTGAGTGTTTTTATCGATACAAAATTCGGTTCGTCTATTACGAGTCGGTCTAAATTATTTATACACCGAAAAGCTTCTTCATTTTATTGTTATGTTCGATATTTTTAATTATAACGTGAGGACTGCCTGTGGTGTAAGAGTTACACAAAAACTTTAAATATATTGAATCGAGTTTTGGAGCTATTATCTCGAAGAAATAGTGACTAAAATAATCTCAAAATATGAAAATAATTTTTTTACCTTCATTAGAGGTTTTAGGGTCAAAGTGACCTCCTCAGAGTTCAAAGGCTAACAACCAAGAAACTCGTTCAATATTTCCGAAGTAAAACGAGGGTAAGTCAAAAAGTTTTCAGGCTTATAAGTAGAACAGGGACGTCTAATCAAAAAAATATCTCATGAAAGCTGAATAACTTACATTAGAACCCTCTCCGAGTTGAAGGTCCCGAGCAATTCTTAGTGGTCGCCACAGGGTTTCTGTTCTGGTAAGGATGTTGAGAGGACAGGTAATGAACCCTATGAGGAGAGTCCGTTTAGTTTTTTCGATTGACAACACATCTAAGCGCATGATTTGATTCGCTAAATCGTGTTTGGGGAGCTAAATGGAAAATGGTTGAAGTTTTATATTTAGCTGTAAAGAATCTTCATGAAAAAAATGTTTAGGCTAGCTATGAGATATCTCGCGCACCAAGGTTCCTTGTAAACTTTAATTCAGTCTTTATCCACGTATGCGATAATAAAAGAAATGGATGAGTGAAGGTTACCTGATTCCTAGAAGGGGATAGTTTGTACTATGACGAATCACGTGGGGTATGCGGTAGACTTGTTTTGAAAAGCGAGGCCAATGAAACTCCATCCATTTAATTGTATGGGTTAGGGGTGTGCGAAAGACTTACCTCCACGTGGTACAACTCATACTCATACGACAACATAGTCTAGTTATCGGCAGTTGACTTCCGACTTCAAGCTGCCATCTCCTCACTCTATGTCATATCTGACTACTTCCACAGTACTCATCTCACCGTTTCTCTAGCTTTGCGTCTGTCTTTTTTTACATCTTGAAACACTTTTCTGTCCCTCTTTCTCGACTTTTTTGCCACTTTGATATTCCCGTTTTCTCTGTGAAGCCCAAAGTCAGCTAAAGGGCTAATGATAATTATCAAAACACCTGCCATTTGAAATAAATATATAAAAGATGAATCACGATGCCACTTTCTTAGCACATCAATTGCTAGAAGAAATCAACTCAGAAGACGATTTGATCCAATTGTGTTCAAACAGCTGATTTCGTGAAAAGTTATATTATTTCTCCACCATGATTATGAGGTAGCTAATGCACGCATTGAATAGGGTGATATTTCGACAAAAGCGTATGAGGTCTACAAAATTTCATGTCCAAATAAACTTCGATTAGTGATCATATTTGCCAAAACCTGGCTTCTCAAAGAGGTTGCGAATACTGTCATCCCCACCAAATTTGACAAATTTTAACTTGAACGCCGTTGTAATAGTTTTAGCACGGTCCAAATATTTTGCATGTTTTTTTACCGTGAAGGAACTAGGATACTTTTTGCATTTTATTGAGTAACAAAGGCTTTAATTTAAGCAGGATGTCACTCATTTTGAAATTATCGGTTTCGGCTTTGAAAAAATATATTAGTTAATTTAAGTATTTCTGCTCATTACATGTCAACCTTCCAGATAGTACAAAACTCTTTGAAGTCGGGATTTTAATGTCGTTGGAAAGCTTTCTCATTATTTTATTCGAGCAAAGTTGGTATGAATTGCCATCAGCCTTTTACTACATAAAAAGTTAAATAAATTACAAATTCATACGAAAACGCTTCTCCGAGTTGTTAATACCTCAACTAAATGTTAAAAACGAGAATAGAAAATGTTTCTTTTCTTATTTTTAATTAAAAAAAACGCCAGTTTCGCTGAATGTCAGTTACCTGGAATGTGAAGGATTCTTCAAATGTTGGATTATTCGTTTGCTTCTTGATGGACGTTGTATGAAACTTTTTCTCCGTGTTTTCAATATAAACTCTAAAATGGTAAATAACATATTTGCTGTAAATTTGTTAACTTCTTTGAATGACATTTAATTAAGCCAAACAATTTAATTGCGAGTATTGTCAACATGACTTCACGTAATTGGAAAGATTTATTCAAATCTTAGTTAGGTCTTAACATAAAATGACCATTCAAGTAAATTAGATTATCTAACGTAGAAATAATTTAACTCATGAACATTTATTTATTTCAAATGGCAGGTGTTTTGATAGCTATCATTTGCCATTTAGCTGACTTCCGGCTTCACAGAGAGGAGGATTCATCAAAGTAGCAGAAAATTGAGGGGTGGGGAATAGAAGAGCGATTCACAGATGTAAAAGAGGCAAACAGACACAAAGGTAGAGAAAAAGGTAAGACAAGTATTGTGGAAGGGGTCGAATATGACAAACAGTGGGGCCATGGTAGTTTGAAGTCAGAAGTCAACTGCCGGTTAATAGACTTTTTTGCCGTATGAGTATACGTTGCCCAGGGTGCACCACGTGGAGGTAGGTCTATCGCACACCCCATATTTTAACCTACTTTGTAATGCTTAATTATTGAAACTGTACAAAGTATCCGGCGAATGAGGTTTGGGACTTTGAATGCCTTCACTTGAGTCTATTCGTCTTCCTCTAGATTTGAGTTACTTAAGCATGTAATCCATGGCATCAGACACAAGACTTTTACTAATTGTGTTATCTGTCAGTGTAAAAGAAGTATTAAATTTTTCTTAAAATTCTCTCAACGAACTCATGTGACATCAAGCTGACTACAACACTCCTTATTTTAAACTCGAAGCGATTTCAGAACGATATCTGCCACTGGATGTAACCCCGAGATGGTTGCGAGATAGGAAGCACTCAAGTAGAATTGGAGACCCATATTACGCACACCCACACACACACACACACACATACACTTGGCTCTCGAAGGCGCGTTCTTCGTTTTGTTCATCCTTCGGCTTTTTCTCCATCCCGAACATTATTGCTCGACCTCTGCTAAATTTCAAGTATTGCTGGGCAAAACATTCTTTTTCTACCCTTGAATCTACATTATTCGCCTGGAAACTGAGGCTGGATGCAGAATAAACCCTCGCCAAGTTGTCATCCCCTCAGATGCTATTCAAATTGAATCAAAATCCATAGACAGCCATTCGGGCTGAGTTAACAAGCCTTATGAGCCCAGGGTTCGATAGGCAGGATCAGAAAATTGAATTTGGGTTTTGAAATATGTCTAACTCATTTAATAAAGGTGCATACTTCGAAGTCTTGTCAACGAATTTCCATTACTTATCGTAATAAACTGTCCTTTTTGCTATTTGCCCAAAATTAATAGAGTTGTGCAAATATGTCTACAATCCGTCACTGGAGTTATCGTCAAAACATACCTTTTCTGGTTTGTGAACGTTTCTTTGGTTATGAGTGAGGGAGCGTTTAGAATGACAGTAAAAGCCAAATTAGATATGAACGAAGATTTCGTTCGGTTTGCTTGTAGTTAAACGATCTTCACTTTATCCATTGACAATTTTATTAGGGCTAAATTAACATGATTAATATGCATATCGAACTTTAATAATGAATATTGTCTTCATTGGTTTTAATCATTTCCATTGGGAAGCAGAGGTTGACCTCATGCTTGAGAAGCCCGGGGTCATAGTCTCGATACTATTTTGTGTCCTCCTCTGGATTGAACGGTCAGTCGAATTAGTTGTTTCCGTCCTACATGAATGTTGGAAATGATTGGCTAAATGAGCACACATCAATTTGGGAAAAATTTTCCAATGTTTAGCATGGTACTTCAAATTAGTTCAATTTCAAGCTTTTGAATCATATATTACATAAAATAAATAAAATAAGATAGGTGACAGGTGATAAACCTTGGAAAGTCCAGTAGGATTTAAGTTTCAAATTGCCCTGGCTATCGATCAAGCAATAACAATCATTAGTGATTATTGACTAATTTTTTATTAATCATTTGGGATCTTGCCACTTCAATTCAAAGGCTGAAAGAGTTATGTGATTCTAGCCTTGGGTTCAGTTAAAGGTGAACTCTAAATAAATTTGGCTTATTTTAACCAAATTAAAGGGTAAATTTAGTTCAACGATGTCGACCTAACGGACGAAACTGATATTGTAATATTTATAATTGAAATGTGGGTGTGCGATAGACTTACCTCCATGTGGTGCACCCTGGGCAACGTATACTCATACGGCAAAAAAGTCTATTAACCGGCAGTTGACTTCT